CTATATGCTAAGCAGATCTCTCTTTAATTTTAGTATTTTGGTTTACGTACATAGAAATAGGTGGTGATAAACATATTTAATGAATATGAATTGACACCTACGTATCATATACAACAGTGAATCAATATCTGGAGCTGAAATCTTTACTAAAATGTTTAAACTATGCAATCGATGTGAGGAATTAAGTGGACTAACAAAGAGAGAGAATATATCAAAATATATTTAATGTGTAAAAGAAAGGTTTTTCTCATCATTAAAATACAGAATTAACTTACCCACAAATATATTGTCTGAAATTTGCATTGGAGGCAAACAAATTTACACTATGACGTAAATCTCAGTTCCAAGTCTAGGGCGATCACTAGACTACAAGTTTCTACTCTATGTGTGGTTTCTATATAATTTATAAGTCGCTGGGAGCTTATGCAACCATTACCTAGCGGAGAAAATAGTAATACTCACCTTTGGAGTACAATTTTTTTCTTTAAGCTTAAAGGCCCATTTACAAATGGAAAAGAATTTATTTTACGCTACCTAAAGCCACACCAAGACTTAAAAGTTAAAACAACTAATAACTCATAACTTATCTAATGAATCTTATTAAAAATGCTAGATCCGAAGGACGTATAAAATAAAATAAATAAATAAGAATACAATTAAAATACAATAAAATTAACACAAATAAATTAATAAACTTAATGCCAGGATGAAAAACAGTTAAAATCTTTATCCATAAAAAAAATATCTAGCCTACACAAAATGGAATAACATATGGGCTGATAATCATAAAGATTTGAAATATAGTCACTATGCAATGTGTTGTGGTACGATCCACCTAATTTACATAGTGAAGTACCGACCATATAAATATGGTTGGTACCGGGAAGACGGGGGAGGAAGAAGAGATCCAATCCAGAGACTCTGCCCGACTGCGATTAAGTCAACCCATTCTACAGGAACGGTCTTCCCAAGAATATACCAAACTATCTGTAAATATTGTGTACACGTTCTTGTTTCAATACATTTTGTTTACGTACATTTTGTGTTGTATTATTATTATTCCATGCTTATCCAAGCTTCAACACAATGTTAATTTGTATTCAATATATATATATATATATATATATATATATATATATATATATAAACAAACACATTGTTTAAACTGTTGTCCTCATCTTTATTGCCATATTGGCAACTTCAAGTGATATTATGATAAACGTTGATATTTCGAAACGTACCTGTCTATGATTTATTTAGTCCCCGGGGTAGATTATCTAATTTTAATTTTTACATGCCACTGAATATCTCAATTAATTCCAAAGTAAAACTAAACTCTTTACCTACTGAACTTAAGTCATTTTGGGATCACCTGACCTTGACATTTATCCACTGTATCATGTGTGACCGGAGGGGGCATTAATAAGTGAATGTTTGGGACATAGAAATTTAATGTCTCAGTAACCTTATTTACCAGAACCCATATTATAGTTTTTTTGTTATTGTTGTTTTACTCTAGCTCTCTATATTACTGGTTCCCATATTGAATTCATGCCTGGGCTTGGCTAGCTTAGAAGATTTTTGTAGCCTAGAATATGTGAATATTCCATAAGTTTTCCGATTTTCCAGTTATGTTCCCTATTATTTCAACATCATCCTACAGAGAGCAGTTAACTTCATTTTCTCTACATATATGGTCGGCCATGTATATATATATATATATATATATATATATATATATATATATATATATATTCGTGTGTCATTGTTAAAATTTGTGTATTTAGGCAGCAAATAATCTTTTAGACATATCTGATTAAATAAATTACAGACATTATGTCTGCTAACTTTTAACAAAATCCGTTCATACTCGCGAATATCCTTCCGTGTATTGATGCTAAAGGCTGAGAAAATGTGCTATATCTGTTTAAATTTCTTTTATATTCATTTCCCAAGTATCTTCTCTCTAGGTCACAAGGTCATTTTCAGGTGTGCAAGTGGTACAAAACTATATGTTGTTCAGTAGTATAAGTATATATATATATATATTTATTAAAGACATTTTATTATGTTTAACGTTTTTTGTTATTTTTATAGATACAAGCATTTACGGAACCATTTAAAATGCTGACTGTTTATTTAAACAGTTTTTACCAGACAAGGTCGAATTTACTGCTTATAAAATATTCGTTCTTTGTAGCGAAGCGGTAAGGCACGTCAGCGTATATGACGGTTCCGTATAGCGGATGCAGGTTCGAATTTCCTGTCAAAGAACGAATATTTTCTATGAAAATTCAGCGTACATTCAGTTCCGGTAAATGTTATTTAATACTGTTTATCATAAACAGAGCATTTGACTTAAATACTTGTATCTATAAAATAACAACGTTAAACATAATAAAATGTCTTTTAAATAAATTGTCGGACCTTGTCGGACCTTTGTCCATTTATATATATATATATATATATATATATATATATAATTGTGTGCGTATTAGTATAAGTTTATATATATATATATATATATAATATGATATGATATGAATAAGTGTAATTTCTCGGTAAGAGGTATATATGTTATGAACATTTAATGTATTATACTTGTTTTATTGTGAATAATCCTAATCTATTTTTATTTAATCGTAACAATTATGTCCCTGTTGTTTTTACGAAAATGATCGTAATTTTCGCAAGTAGAGGAAAACAATTTTGCAATGTTCATTTTGTTTATCTTTGACTCTCTCTAAGGAAATACTGAACAATTGTAAAGTAGCGTCAGGGATGTTTTTCAGTGAGTAATCCGGCGTAAATTTTTCGATTTTTTGGACTCTTAAAGTAATCCGACGGGAAGTAATCCGATGAGAGAACAACGTTAGCCAATAGTTAGATAATGAAAAATTTGGTAATCCCAAGGAGGATTTAATCCAGAGAGCTCAATGTCAAACCAGAGCAATTATTAATTGGCTCCTTCTTTACAATCGTTCACCAATTCCTTAAGTGACAAAAAAAAAAAAAAAATAATTGATTTCATTAAAAGAATTAGATGGAAAATCTACTTCCACTTTAATCCCCACAACAATCAATGGACCCTTAAGATTGTCTGTTTTCTAATTAAATTGAATTTATATATATGGTTCCAAAACAATAACACATTCCTCATAGCATTTTTCGGATTACATCTCTATTTTCGTTGTCCTCTTATTACCGAGAAGTAAAAAACAAGAACAAATCTATTTCCATATCTGAGGATGTCTGTAGGAACAGACGAAAGCTTGTAAAAATTAAAAATGACCTTATGAAACTGGAATTTATAAACAGGGATCATATCATTCATATAAGGGTTCGGGGTTAGTGTATCTTATTGAAATTGTTTGCGAAGATGTATTCTCGCCATTTAATCATTAACCTCTATATTTGTTTTTTGCATGAATGATTCATGTAATTATAAATTAAACTGCACCTATAATCGAAATATATATATATATATATATGTGTGTGTGTGTGTGTGAGTAATCAGCAAGAACAGCACGAGATACCTAAAAACAGGTTGAAAGAGATAAATAGTCAATGAAGCTTAGGTTTTGTACCTACATAGGTTGATATATTATTAGGTAGTAACAAGCTTATGGGGATAAAATAAACTGAAATAAACGGTTGCGTAGAAATAGACTTAAATTGTTTATCCCTCTCGTGCGATTCGGAAGAGTCGTGATTATCTAATAAAAATTCAGCACAGGTGTTCCTTTTTAATTTAAAAACGTCGCCCTTTGTGACTCGCAAATCTACTCTCTGTAACCTGTCCTTAAAGTTATCTAGTGCAAGTGAGCCGAATTAAAAGTAAGTACAACAAAAAGCAACCGTGATTTTATTTGTTTTTTTTTCTTACGATCAGAATTTAAACAATTTCAAATTTATTTTTTATATTTGTTCATTAACTGACAAACATTTCCTTCGTGGAACAATTCTGAAACAATAACACATTTCACTTATTTTTATTATTTACAACATTAGAGGAAATACGTTTTTCTGTCATTCAGACATGGAAATTGAGTCAGACAGAAAATACTTTGCGTTGAGGGCAAACGTCGATCCTGAGCGACGCATTGAGAAAAGAAGATAATCCACACACGCGCAACTACATACATGCATGCAAACATACATACATACATATATATATATATATATATATATATATATATATATATATATATATATATATATATATATATGTGTGTGCGCGCCCACGTCGTTATCGAATGTGGCTCAATGTCATTTAAAAGTGGGTTAAACGGCAATACCGTGGAAAAAAATTATTCAATCCTGGAGCTTGAGATTAATATTATTTTGAAACTACGTCAGCAAAAAGACAGGCAGGTAGAGCTTTTTCCTTAATAACCTGAGATGCACCTCTGATGATGATCTCAGAAAGTACTTGGGAAACAAGAGTTTTTTCTCACTATTACAGTGCATTTCTCAAGTTTTTATCTTTGTATCTTAGTTAACATTTCAGCTAGTGACCTGCATATTGTTTTACATATTGTGCAAAAGCCAGGATCTTGGAACATAATAACAGGAATATTTGCTGACACTTTTGACGTGCCTTTCGTCTCTCAGCTGGTCAATACCGCTGATACTAAATTTCACAACTCTGGCACAAATATCTCTAGATATTTCTATCCATGGCAACTCCCTCGATGTGAGTATGAGGTGCATTGACACCTAAGAGTTTACTCTTTCGTTTGTCTTTATACCTGAGCCATAATCGTCCAATATTCCTTTGTCCACGGCGAAGCTGGCTCTACCTGAGGACATTAGGTATGCTGTCGTCACTGATCATTGCAACATGAACACCCAAGCGAAGTTGAAACTGCACCACAATAGTCACAATTCCAGGAATGTTGCATTTTGCGAGAAGATCAAAATTTGATATGGCGTCGTCAAAAGTTTAGATCGCATGGAGATAACTTTTATGAAAGACATTCAGCTGAAATAAATGGGACCTGTAAATAGAAAGGGCGAAATACGAAGAAAAGATAGAAAGTGTGAAATAAAAAGAAAAAAAATAGAATGATTGAAATAGGAAGAAAAGGGAGAAAGGTTAAAAAAGAAAAGAGAGTAAGTGTGAAAATAAATAGAAATACAGAAAGACTGGAATAAGAGGAAAATGGAGAAATGGTTGAGAAAAAAAGAAAGGAGAGAAAGTATGAAATAGAAGGAAAAGATAAAGGATGAATGAAGAAGAAAAGGGAAAAAGGATGAAATAAAAAAAAGAAAATGTGAAATAAAAAGAAACAGAAAGACTGAAATAAGAAGAGAAGAGGGAGTCGAAAACAAAGAGCTTAGTGGTTTAAAGCATTGTTGTTTGAATTTGGGGACATAGTAATTGTGAGTTCAATCCCGGGACCGGATAGTGTGTTTTTGAACTCAGTAGTAAGGGGCGAACAATAACAGCACCACTAAAAAAACAAAAAAAGCAAAACAAAAAACAAACAAACAAATAAATAGACGATATCACTAGTCTTGGAAAGGGGAATGAAAATAGGCTAATCCTGTAGATTAAATAAAGGCTTCAGTTCAGAAGATCCAGTGGGTTAACCAGATCGATATACCCCTGATAAAACTCAGAGGGCGTAATGGCCGAAACGTTGTGATAACAGTAACAAAGATGAGAACGGTATTTCGAATATAAATATTGTCAATGATGATAACCCTCATCCCAGAAATTCAGACAGAAAAAAGAAAAAAAAAATGTGAAAAAAAAAAGGAAAAAACCAAAGAGAGAAAAAGAAGGTAAAATGTGAAGTGTAGAAAAAGAAAGATTGAGAATGAAAAACGTGTAAACAAGAAAGAGAGGCGGGAAAAAGAAAAAAAAAAAGAGATTAGATGGGGAGCAGATAACTATTAACTGTCTAACAAGAAACAAATTGAAATACAAGTATCGATAACCTTTGCTGTAAGTTCTTTTTCGTGATGCCAAACTTACTAAAATAAATTCAGAAAGCGGGGCGGGTGTAGGAAACCGATGAAAATTGTCACGAGAGGAGGTAGACGTCTAATGCGAAGTAATGAATGAGAAAAAAAACATATAAAAGTGAAAGCTTATTGATATTTTATGAAATCACTCGAATGAAAAAATGCATATATTTTGGAGATAAATATTCCCCTTCGTCTAGTCGAAAGTCCATGAAGTATTATGAGTGTTGTAGAGGAATATCATCTAATTATATCAATATAGATCACTACGACGTGGTGTGTTGTTTCCGTGAATATTATATCGAGTTAATCCTAGTTGGTCAATTATTGTACAAATTTGCGTCCTTGTTTTTCTGATCTTCTTTCGTTGTCCCATCATCAAGTAACATCTCTTTGCTTGAACCGTAATAAATAAAAATGGGTTGCAGGTGAAGAAGAATATTAATTATACACTATGGCTACCATAACAATCAGTTATGTGCCATGCGGGATACATCCTTAGGTGATCATGTATCTTTCGATATCTGACTGACGAGGTAGATTCTTTTCCTGCCGTAGGTTGTCATTTTACCAGTTGCCATCCATGGCTATAGAACTCGGTCTGTTCCACTATTTATCCATAGCTGGTGGGGAGAAGAAGAGGATTCATAAGTGAATATCAGTCAGTTATGTGTCATGCGTGATACACGCTTAGGAAATCATATATCATTCGATATATGATTGACGAGGCAGATTTTTTCCCCACAGTAGGTTGCCATTTATTTCTGCGGCCGACCAGTTGCCATACATGGCTATAGAACCCAGTCTATTCCGCTATTTATCCATAGCTGGTTGGGTGAAGAATAGGATTCATACCTTCCCCAAGGTTATTAGCACGTAAGTAAATGTAGTGGATTCCACTGGAATTCGAACTCGGCTTTCGGATTCCTCAATCCGATCCGCTAACCATTACCCACCGATGTAAGTGAATATAATGGAATCGACTGGAATTCGACTCCTCAATTTGAACCGCTATCCATTAATCAACCATGCCTCCTTCAATACATGACAATACTTTATTAATTTTTGTAATGAATACAAACATTTCACAAGGCTAAAACCTGGGAAGGCGAGATGCTTCTTTTTAGTATTATGATACTAAAAACAAGCATCTCGCGTTTAATTGTAAGAATAATGGTCGAAATATTCAGCAATCATGGACCGAACTGTTAAAGTTACTGTCAGTTGAAGTTTATAAAATCTTTCTTTTAAAAGAGTCTTCAGGAAAAAAAAAAGCCTCGCAATTCTAATATTATGGCGCTTTCTAATATTAATGGGAGTTTCCTTACTTTCCTTTAGTTTAAGGTAGTGTGGAAGTCCACCATCTTGTTTATATCATTATTTTCATTCCTAGTTACATTTTAGTTTTTGCTATTGTTAAAAGTCTTCAAGGGATGTGATTTTTGTTTTTTTCTAAGAATCTATGTGATTATGTAGTCTGTAAAATCTGATGAAGTATTTTTTCTTCAAGACTTAAGGACCCGTTTGCTTGAAACCATCGTTGATTTGAGAAAACAGTTGTATATAGCTAAGTGTTTGGACATTTCTGAACGAGTTGACACCATGCATGTCATTTACATCAGAGATTAGATCTGACGAGACGTTAAAACTGTTATGGGACCTTACCCATAGTAACATAATGGACTATTCCATACGTAATAAATACTGCCCCTCAAGAGGAAGCAGAGAATTCAGTCTGAAGTCGAGCGACCCGCTGATCGGTTGAACTCTCTGCCTTCGGGCGGGGAGGAACCCGAACGAGGCTTGCCGAAAGGCGGAGTCTCTTTCGGGGAGGTAAACCGACCCTGAACCCGTTTATTCGGGTTCAATGGGCATATTTTTGGCCGAGCCCACGGGCTCGGAGATCCCACGTTAATTCGGCCTTGTGCCACATGATGCCCTCGTGAGGGGCATGACTAAATACTGTTTCGTCTGAAGTCTAGAGTTTCGTCTGAAGTCTGGAGTGAAGTCCGTCACGAGTCTGTCAGTCAGTCAGAGCGAGCGAGTCAGTCAGTCGAGTCAGAGGCAGTACGAAACAGAGTCGCGTTCAGACAATTACTACTAAACCTGATTGTTCGTACTAACCATTTCTACTTCTCTGTATATATTCCTGTTTGTAATATATCTGTGTTATTCCATATCCGTGTTCGAGTTCTTCTTTATTGGGTCTACCTTGGACCATCACCGTGGTACAAGGAACCGGGCCATAACAAAAGCATAAGACGAATTCGGAGCTAGTCACATTCAATGACCCAAACAATCAACATAATTCCTTTCACATTAACGTCTCATTTTTTTCTGGGTTTTTCATGCAAAAATCAGCAAAATTATTTTTCTCTTCACAGAAATTCTAATACATATATTTCATGTAGAGAAGGGGAATAAAATAAATGTCTAAGGCTTTACAATGTAAAAAGCCTCCCTAGTGACTTTGAAGATAATAAAATGCAATTTAGAGAATATAATTATATAAAAAAACGGGAATTCATTTATAAACGAAAGACATGTTCGTATGTAAGGCCCACCATGAATATGGCTTAAAAAAGGAATGTTAACCAGTTAAAAAATGACGTGTAGGAAATGTTAATAAAAATAAAATAAAGCGAAATATCCCAATCAAACAACAATACCAACAGATAAAAACACCATGAGAGGGGATATGTAGGGTCGAAGCTGAATGGGTAGACATTCAGACAATTAATGGAAAATCCATTAAAGCTCTGTGAGTAGGCGATGCAGGCTGATTGGCCAATCGCGTGCTGAGCCAGCGAAAGAAAAGCCAATTAGCAGCGAAGCTCAAACGATTAGCGATAAGCTGTTAAGGGTGGAGAAGGTTATTGGACATCTGGAGAGACGATAGTAACAGTTGTCATTTTTAAGGCGGGCGGATAGTTGTTTGCTCTTTCAACAATAGTTCATACTCTTCCCCAGGTCTTTCTTCCTGTGTAGGACTGGGTTTCGGGTTGCTTCAACTCTGCCCTTCTGACGTCTCTGCCTGAACCCTGAAATTTGAGTCTGTAATTATTATTATTATTTTCCCCTCTACCAATACGAGTAGATAGCCTTGTCTATCGCCCGGTTTACACTCCTCGCTTGTCTTTTGAACAGGATTAGGAGTTTACCCATTGTTCCCAGATTTTGGATTGGGCTTTCGTTTCATACTCTATGTTCTAACGTTTCCGCCTGAACTGTGATTTTTTTAAAAATATTTATTTTAGTTATTTTTTCTTCATTCAATGCGAATTGATAGGTTGTCTTATCGCCCTCTTCCATGGATGTTTGAACAGCCGTAGAGGTTTACCCCTTGTTTCTTGTTTAGGATTAGGTTTCTTCAACTCTGTACTGCTGACGTTGCTGTCTGAACTCTGAAATTTTATTCAGAAATTATCACTTTCCCTCCCCCAGTAGGAGTAGATAGCCTTGCCTATCGTCCTTTTCACAAACGTCGAAGTTCTATTGAACAGGAGTAGATGTTTATATCTTGTTACCACTCTAATGTTGGGTTTCCGGTTCGTTTTAATGTCGACAGTTAGATACTTCTAACGAATCTGCCAGAACTCTGAAAATTTTCACTACTTCGTTTTTTACCATTTTTGATGCTAATACAAATCAATACAATAACTCTCTACCTAGAGTGACTTTCGGGACTTGTATCTGGGTAAACATTATTAATAAAAATAAAGAAGAAAAAGGACATTGGCATCTGTTTTATTTCTCCTCCCAAGCTGAGTAGAAGGAAGAATTGTAGCAATGTAGAAAGAAGAGATGTATTTTCATATCCTGACAGCAGAGGATTACCTGTCAGAGTTCAGTCGAGGACAAGACACGCACAAATAGTTGTTGTTTGTTGGTCAGCAGATAAGTTTTTACCATTCAGGATGGGAATAGAATGTACGTGTTTATCGCCTACTACAAAGAGAGTTAATAAGAGAGGAATCAAACAAGGAATGTGAGTGACTTTAGATTTTCATCAACAAAAAATATTTCTTGTGTAAAGACTTTCATTTCAAGGAACCTTTTATTTACTTTCTTGATAACTGTTACATTATCTATCTATCTATCTATCTATCTATCTATCTATCTATCTATCTATCTATCTATCTATCTATCTCAGCCTGTTCATTATCTATCTATCTATCTATCTATCTATCTATCTATCTATCTATCTATCTCAGCCTGTTCATTATCTATCTATCTATCTATCTATCTATCTATCTATCTATCTATCTATCTATCTATCTATCTCAGCCTATTCATTATCTATCTATCTATCTATCTATCTATCTATCTATCTATCTATCTATCTATCTATATCAGTCTGCACATATCTATCTGCTTATCAGTGCTCATGTGTATATTATTAGGAATAATGCTAAGTGAAATCTCAATTTTCTTAATTTCGAATATGATTTGGAATTATACATTTAATATTAAAAAGAAACAAAATATATATTATGATGGCTACACGTTCATTTCTAGTAAATCCATCGCTTTTATGTATATTCAATTATGTGCAACGCATATGTGGTTCTTTAGTCCTGCTAGGGCCTTACATTGTCTTGCGCGGATGTGGCAACGTTGGCCGTCTTTTCCAGTAGTTGTTAAAATGAATGCTGCATAACGTGTAATGAATGACGTTTCTGGGTGAGTGAGTGATGTTTTTGATTTAGGATTAACGCCGCCCACCCCAACCGAGGATGCCCATAGAAAAGGTAGGGTCATCGTGAATACGTCTGGCTGGCTAACCGCGGTCAGCATGTGAACCATTCTTGCTGTCGAAACCCTGGATCGACCTGAGACCTGTGAGGCCGTTGCTTCAAATCGGTTTTCATGATGTAGGACTATCCGAGAGGTGGGCGACTGAAACTTTCGAGTCCAACCTATAACACGAAGACTATCTGCGACATGCTGACAGTTGGTCTCCACTGGCCCAGCCGCGTCCACCACCCACTCTTTTCTGTGACACCTACTCACGATTCTTCGGGATTAGGCTGGGCGTTCACAGCGATCTCCGCCACAGCCACCAGACGGGAGCAAGGGAACAAGGAAAGAGGATAACGATCCCGATTGTCGGATGCGAGCTGGTACCGAAGACGATACCTTTCATGAATTTTTGAGGCCTACTTAGACATACGCGTCAATATTCATGACACGTTAGATCAAATTTTGTAGC